TAAAAGGAATAGCAAATTGTACACAGGAGATATGCAGTTTCATGTGCAATTATCTCTTTATTACACTATGTTATGGAAAAAATAAATTTGTTCTAAAAAAGAAAAAAAATAAAGCGGCTAAAGTACTTTTCAGAGGAAGGAGATTCTAAAGTTTGTTGGCAGTATCAGGGAAGGCTTCATGAAAGAGGCCACATTTTGAACTGGGTTTTGAAGGAAAGAAGGATGGCTGAGTAATAACTCACCTTTTGCCAGAGAAAAGTGAGTAGGAAGAGGTTGTTCAATCATTTTCAGTCGTGTCCAACTATTCATGACTCCATTTGGGGTTTTCTTGGCAAAGATACTGGAGTGATTTGTCCTTTCCTTCTCCAGCTCATTTTCCAGATGAGAAACTGAGGAAAGCAGAGTTAAGTGATTTGCCCAGGGTCACACAACTAGTAAGTGTCTGAGACCAGATTTGAACTCATGAAAATGAGTCTTCCTGATTCCAAGCTCAGTGCCCTACCCACTACACCACCTAGCTGCCCAGGGGAGTTAACAATATAATAAATGCAACAGGTATTTTCCACCACTAAAGGCAATTATTCTTTTCTTTTGTTTTGTTTTTTTTTGTTAAGGCAATGGGGTTAAGTGACTTGCCCAGGGTCACACAGCTAGTAAGTGTCAAGTGTCTGAGGCTGGATTTGAACTTAGGTCCTCTTGACTTCAGGGCTGGTGCTCTATCCATTGCACCACCTAGCTGCCCCTTAAAGACAACTATTCTTAAGAAAGACTATTTCCTTTTTAAAAGTTATTTGCACCCAGATGGCTTCTACTACGGTCTCTTCCTTCACTATCTCATATAATGAGAGTCTTTCGCAGAGCCAAGGCAAATCCGTCTATACGCACAAGCAATCCCATTCCATTCCATCTTCTCCACCAGTTTGCTTGTCACTAGGATCCCCAGTCTCTCACTTAATCTTCAATCTCTCCCTCTCCATTGGCTGCTCCCCTACTACCTACTAATGTCCACGTCTCTTCCATTCTTAAAAACCCTCACTTGATCCATCTGTCCCAGCTAGCTGTCATCTCTTATCTCTCCCTTTTGTGGCTAAACTCTTTGAGAAGGCCATCAGTAACAGGAACCTTCACTTCCTATCCTCTCACTCTCTTCTTAACTCTGACTTCCTACCTACTCTCTCCAAAGTTCTCAATGATTTCTTAATTGCCTTAATTTCTTAATAGGCCTTTTCTCAATCAGCATTCTTCTTGACCTCTCTTCAACCTTTGACACTGTTGATTACTCCCTTCTCCTTAATACTCTCTTCTCTCTAGGTTTTCCTAACACTACTCTCCTTCTAGTTCTCTTCCTATCTATCTGACCACTAACTTCTCAGTCTTCTTTGCAAGATCTTCATCTAAGTCACACCCACTAATGTAGTTGTCCACAGAGTTCTGTCCTGGGCCCCTTTCTCCTCTTCCTCTGTGTTACTACACTTGGTAATCTCATTCAATTCCCCATAGATTCAATTATCATCTCTATAAAGATGATTCTCAGGTTTATTTTTCTAGGCCTAACCTTTCTAGACCTCTGGTCTCATGTTTCCATTTGCCTATTAGACATCTTGAACTCGATGTCCTGTAGACATCTTAAACTCGACATATCCAAAACTGAGTTCATTACCTTCTCCCACCTCCAAATCCCCCCTATTCCTTTTTTGAGTACCACCACCTTCCTAATCACCCAGACTTTCAACTTAAGTGTCATCCTCAACTCTTCTCTCTCTCTCACGCCCCATATCCAATCCGTTTCCAAGGCCTATTGATTTTTACCTTCGTAATATTTCTTACACATGCCTTCTTCTCTCCTCTGTCTGTTACCTCCACTACAGGCCCTCATCACTTCACATTTCAACTATTGCAAACTTTTGGGGTGGTCTCTCTGCCACTAGTGTCCCCTCATTCCAGTCCATCTTCCACTCTGCTCTCAAGTGATCTTCCTAAAGTTTGGGTTTGACCATATCCTACATATACCACTCCTACTACTCAATAAACATCAATGACTCCCTATCACCTCCAGGATCAAATATAAAATACTCAGCTTGGCATTCAGAGTCCTTCAAAAGTTGCCCCCTCCCCACTTTCTAGTCTTCTTACATCTTATACCCTCCAGATACTCTGCAATCCCATGACAATGTCCTTGCTGTTCCTTGAATAAGACATTCCATCTCTGCCTTGTATTCCTTCACGTTCCAACTAAAATCTCATCTTCTAAGAAAAGCCTTTCCTGATCCCCCATAATTCTAGTGACTTCCCTCTGTTGTTTGTTTCCTATTTATGTTGTGTATAGCTTGTTTGTATATAGTCATTTTGTGATATTTCCCCCATTAGACCGTGAGCTCCATTCAGACCCACGACTGTTTTTTACCTTTCTTTGGGTCACCAGAGCTTAGTATAGTGCCTGACACATACATAGTAAATACTTTGTAAATGTTTATTGACTGACTCATTGGCAGGAAAATTCCTGTTTGACTTTGGACTGTCTTGCTTTCAAAGTCACTGGTTGTTCAAGAATCATTTTTTGAAAGCCACAATTTTATGACCTTAGATAATGCTGACTCCAGCAACAAATACAAGTTTCTAAGGGAGCTAGCTCCCAAGGGAGTTAGATAGGGAAACTCCTGTAGAGTTAACAAGTTAATGCTGAGACAGGGCAAGTTCGTAGTCCCAGGTAGAGTGTGCATATCAGGTGTTCAAACTGATAGCTACACCTGATCTTACTAACAAGAAACACGTTGTTTCTCTATGCTTAGCCAGATACTAATGGGATCTTTGGACTGACTTGTTTAAATTCTTTTCTTGGGTGGGAGGCAGAGGGAAGGGAATAAGAACACTGTCCAGTTCGAAAAAGAAACAGTGAGTAATTATATTTGTAAATCTGTAACATTCCCCACTGAGAGGTGCTTTCTAAGTACCAAACTGGAACATTTTTGAGGAGTCAAAAGTTAAAAAAAAAAAAAGCTCCTTTCTCACTAGGAGTCCAGGACTCCAAGTTCTGTATTCCTTTGCCTGCCCAGGACAGTTACAACAGCCCAAGCCAAGCCCCTGCAGCCAGAAAAAAAAATACTAGTCTTTTGAAGTGTGTGTGTGTAGAGGGAAAAACAGACCTATTAGAGAAACACAGCCAATTTTGAGAATGACTTACCAGTTTGGTAGGGTGGGAACTTTCCACCAAATAATATGATATCAACCAAAAAACAACACAGAATCTCAGAGATGGAAGGGCATGCTCATTGTTTGCCTCAAACTAGTATTGGTTCTTCACAGTTGCTTAACCTTCTATCCACTCTCACCTCTATGCTTTTGATCAACCTATTCCCTCTATCTGAAATGCTTGCTCTCCCAATTCCCACCCACCATTCACTCCATTTAAAAGTTAAGCTATACCTATTCATCCTTCCTTCCTTCATCACCCAATATAAAATAGGGCTTTCTTCATGAAGTCTTCCTTGATTCCACCAATGAGCTGTGGAATCTCCTTCCTCCAAATGCCCAAAGTATTTTACAGCTGAGCAGAAGAGGACATGGAAAACCAGAATGTGGTCCCTGGCTCACAGGGTGCTCGTTGCCTCATGTTCAATGATAATGAACAGCATACAATGAAGTATAATAAAACTTTTACATAGGATTTTTCAGAATACAAAGCCCTTTCCACACAATAGCCTCTAGATGAGGTTAGCACCAGCATTGTTGTCTCTATTTTATATATGAGGAAGCTGAACATTAGAGATGTGAAGGGAACTTGCC